CTAAAATACACACCTCAAAAACCTACACCTTAAAAGCTCACCGTCATATTCTACAACTCTAAGATGAGCCTAATAAAATACTCGTATTAACTTTCGGCATCAAAACTTGTATTCTTAAGCTTAGATCTAAAAGATCACGTGATTCCTGCGTAATTACTACAGAACATCTTAAATACTCCTATAACAATAACCTAATTACATGACTTACAATGTTTTATAACAATATCTTCAATAATGGAGCGGTGCCGGAGTAACTATCATCATCCATAATTGTTCCAATAGTAAAACCCTATAAAAAATCTCTTGGTAATCCCAATAACTATTGCGGAATTAGTATCATGCCAATTTTGACAAAGCTCTTTGAATATATTATTATGGAGAAATGTCCGGAAATATCAAATAGCCATTCTCATCAATTTGGCTTCAAGCACAATAGCTCCACTCTTCATGCAGAGTTCCTTTTAACTGAAACAATAAAATATTACAATAATAATATCTCATTAATATATATTAGTAGTTTATATGCAAATAAGATTTTCGATAGCTGTAACTGGGATTTGTCGTTTGAAAAACTTTATTACAACAAAAAGTTACCGTTCTCAGTAGTTCGTGCACCACAATCACTATTCTTATCGGATACTGCTAAAATATGGTACCTTGGGCATAAATCAAATCATTTCCGTTTATCTCAAGGCGTGCGACAAGGATCAACTTTATCACGACATTAATTCTAACTGTTTCAGATTGCAAAATTGGAACAACAATAAGTGGTGTATACACTGGTATTATTACCTATGCAGACGATATTATCTTACAAAGAAAAAATTTCTGGTTTACAAGAGTTAGCTAATAAAGTTCAGTCACAATGCCATAAGCTATATATTAAAATAAACACCAAAAAAAAACGAGTTTATTATACCTGGTAAAAGTTCAATTACAAAAAACACAATTCAAATAAATGGCTCTTCCCTACACTTCAATAATAAACTGAAAAACCTCGAATTCCTATGGGATAATCAAAATCATACTCAAAATATAGCAACATTTTAAACAACGTAAACAAACGTATTACTCAGTTTCGATCAATCTCTAGAGCTCTTATAAAATCTGGTATTCGTCTTTGTCAACCATTAACTATGTACATTTGTTCAAATCTCTGACTGTGCCGAATCTCTCATACGGCTTAATTCACTTCTTAAAATAAAATAATTCACTTCTTAATAAATTGGACGCTGTTGAAAGGTCAGCATTAAAATTCCATCTTTATATATCAAAGTACAGCAAAAACTACCTACATCCCTTCTTCAAAAGTGATGATATATCTACCATCCTCATTCGGAACAATTTAAATTTGTTTATCAGAATACTGAACAATCCGACTTGTTTTCCCTTGATTTTGACTCAAGATATCTGATGTTACTAAAGATAACTTATTTATCAACGAAGTAACAAAAATGTGCAATCAACTTGAGCTAAACTTCGCCCAGTGTTTGATAGAAGGAAAAAAAATAACGATCTATCTCGCTCGATAACGTAGGAGACAATATAGCGACAAATTTGAACCATTCCTTTGAACTCTAGAATATCAGAGAACAAAGAATAGTACTTACGAATTTAATGGGGAAAAATATTCCAAGAAGAATTTGAATTAGAATTTAGAATGAAAGTATGAACTATTAGTTTTATACACTTGTTTTATACTGTTTGGTTTTATTCAGAGCAATTTCCAAGTCAAATAAAATGTCTAATTTATCCTCTTCAAGAAGATCTAGTATTTTTAATATATTTTTATTTATTCCATATAAACATATTGCATAACAGATTTGTGATCAATCTCTGAATGACAAACTGTTTTCATCAGAAGCATCAGAATTTAATCAGATTGAACAGGAAACTCTTTTTCCAAGTTGAAAACAACGGTCGTTTGAAATCTACACCATCATTGGTATACCATGGAGCAGAGATGTAGGTCTCGAGGCCAAAGTCTTGGTCTCAAAACGCCTCGAGACTCAAATTTAACTGTCTTGGTCTTAGTATTGGTCTTGAAGCCAAAAGTCATGATCTTAGTCTTGGTCTTGAAAGCCTAAAATATTGGTCTTGGTCTTGATCTCAGACCTCTACTGTCTTTTACTTTCTTGATTCTTACGTAAAATATATCAAATCAATGAATGGATTAGTTATTAATAACAAATCGTAGATCGCCGCAACTTCCCGCTCTCAATGAGAGTTCGTCGCGTTGGTTTGATCAAACCAACGCGACGAACTCTCATTGAGAGACCCTTTTCAATTGACAAGGTTCTAACTAAAATTTTTTATATGAAGAGAATTTAAAAAAAAATTAATTTTTTTAAAATGTTTAATTAAAATAGTTTATATTATTATTTTTTTATTTGTTTATGTATTCTTTTTTTGATAGATGTATAAAAATGCATAAATACATAAAATTTATTTGCTATTCTCTTAATATAAAAAAAAGTTAGTTAAAACACTGTCAAACCAACGCGACGAGTTGTATCTAGAAAAACGTGTATTCTTTTTCTTTACGCATACCTTTGTTAAACTGTCAAAATGGCTGATAAATTTCCCGCAATTATTAAATTTGGTTAATGTGAACACTGATAAGGATCAGAAACAAGACATAAAACGAGTAGAGAAGGTAAATGATTCAGATTGTTTGGAAAGCAAATCGGAAAGTTGACTATTTGTGCCAGAGATTGAGAAAGACAAAAGTTGTGGGCCTTAACACATGCAGAGTTACTGACACTAGAACCAAGCTATTCAGTGTGATGATCAATAAATTCACCAACAACGACACTGTTACCTGAAGTATAAAGAAAGGGCTTGGGTTATTTGATCAGAAACAACATCAAAAAGAGTAAAGTTTTGAGATGAAGTAGAACGATATAGAAAATAGTGAAGGAGGATAGAGTCAAATGGAACTAAACGAAAGCACATAAAAGAATAAACTCAAACCTAGTTTCCCAACAAATGAGTGTATTCTTACGAATGTAAATGCCTAGGCCAAGAATGTGACTATTGGAGTCTTTACAAATTTTAAAAAAGATAGCCATCAACACTATTTAATTTGAGTTCAGCTGTCTCATCACAAGGTGAAACAGCTGAACTAAAATTCGTTTCACTGAGACGAATTTTAGTTCAGCTGTCATTACAGCTTCGGGTTTATTAATAAAAATGAGGCAATAATGAACTTTTAGTTCACTAACATTTTTTAAATTGACTAAAGAATTAAAGCACAGATAATACTCAGTTGACTACCTAATAGTCCAAGCAATTGCCTCATTTCTATTAATAAACCGTAAGCTTTAACAAAGGCTCCAACTGTAACAACAACAATACACACCAAAAGTACAAGCAAGGACACCATCCATGCGCAACATGGCACTGTTAGTACTCTAATATTTTACCTCTGTTAATAAAATTGGTCTGTCTGAGAGCTACACCAGAGTTAGGGAAACCTGACTACCAGCCAGCCTTGGAACAATAAAACTGAGTTCTGGAACTGTACCCTCATTAAGAGATAAAAGAATGAGTTGTTTAGTCATAAAAACTGAGAAGCAAGCAAAACCCATGCAATGAGTTAGGAAGATCCAGCATTAACATTCTAAACTGAAAACAATGTACTATAAATACATTTGTGTCAGCCTAATAAGTAAAGAAGGGGTGCGAAGCTGGTCAACAGATAGATCCTGTTTACTCCTTACATGTGTGAGCATGAGTTTTATTGTGTTGGATTCTAAGAATAAAAAAATATTTGCAACATATTTCTGTCGACGATAAAGAGGTTCCAGTTTATTTTTATTAGTATTATTAATGTATAATTAGTGTATAACATTATAACTAATGTTAATGTATCCAAATCATTAATGTATAACACAAAAAATAAGAGCCTAAAGATAGACCATTAAGGCACCCCTCTAACTACTTTTTTTTCATTTGGATATATTAGATCCCATTTATATTGGATATATTAGATCCCTCTTTGTTCTCAATTATTTAAAAATGCTTTGCATTAATTTAGTAACTTATGCCTAATTCCAAATATCTCTTATTTGATACATAACCTTTTTTGAGGAACACTGTCAAATGTTTTAGTAAAATCTAAAAATGTCAAACATGTCTGAATTGACTATTTATTTTCTTATATTACTTATGTAATAAAATCTTATGACTCCAACAAATTAGTTACACATCCTTTACTTGGAATAAAACCACGTTATAAGGCCGGGTGAATAAAAAAAAGTAATTGCTTTTATTCAGCGTTTTTGGAGTAATTGTTCAGCTTTATGTGAATAAAAATTTTAGTAAACTCGCTCAAATTTTTATTCACGTAAAATTAAGGAATTTACTCCAAAAACGCTGAGTAATTAATCAGGTTTACATAAACAAAAGTTTAAGTAAAATTCCTTAAGTTTCTATTCACGTAAAACTGACTAATTACTGAGTAACAACAATTGCTTTTTTTTATTCACCCAACCGTTGTTTCGAAATTAAATTATCGCCAATAAGATGTTTTATTAAAATCTCACGTATACTGCTCGTAGGTGGATGTAGGATGAATAGAGAACACATTAGGAAAGATAATATTTTTTCTAACCATAAGTTGAGTAGGAGTAAGTTGCCAAAGTGTGTATAACTTCGAAGCCTCCCACCAGAACATTCCAGAAATTACACGAAATTTTCTTAAATGATTACTTCATTGTATGCTGTAGTTCAGAAGAGATTTGCGCATGTGCATAGGAGTTTATGCAATATATGTACTTTTTAGAAGATTCCTTCCTTTTTATTTTACAAAGAAAATAATAGATCTTATCAAAAAATTAAAAAATTGAAATTTTTTTACAGAAAAAAAAAAAGAAAAAAGGCTGGCAGAACATTTATTTCTGATAATATAATTTTACCAAACGGATTATAGTGTGTAGTATTATATTGTATTAAAAAATTCCTAGAATTAATTTTTTACAAAAAAATAAAACGCGTTATCTTTAAAAAATTTTTTACATATAAAATTTATACAAAAACAAACAATAAAAAGAAATACAAAAAAAAACTGTTGCTGTTTACATAACTTGTTTCATAAAAACTCAAAAAAAAAAAAAAAGAAAAAATTTATGTGATAATTTTATAGATATTAAAAATAGTTGCTTATAAATAATTCTAATGCAATAAATATATAATAAATAATCTTATTAAAAAAAACTCAGGTAAAAATGAACGAAGGTTTAACATGAACTTTGTGTTTTCTTTTCAATATAATTTTTTTCTAAAAGTTTTCAAAATTTTGATGAATGACATTTTCGATTCATAAGAATATGTAAAAATAACTAGATAACTAAATAACTAAAAATAACATTAACGACTTTTTAAGTTTGATTAAATATTCAAGCTTAAAAAGATATGGAGATAGTTGATATTAATAAGATAGTTGTTGCAAGAGATTTTAAGATTCTTAGCAATTTTTTTCAACAATTTTAGGATTTATTATTTTTTTAAGTTTTTGTTTTTTTAATGTCAGCTGATGAATTTTTTTTTCAAGACTTTTGAGTTGAAATTTAAATATATAAATTAAAAAATTTTAAAATATCTTAATAGAAGTCATTTTCATTTAAAAAACCTAAAGGAGAAAAAAAATTAATAGAAAAGAAGAAAATTTAAAAACTGTTTCTTTTAACATTAACTCTATTTCGCTGATGCGTAAAAAATGGTGAGCAATTTTATTCACGGGAAACTTGACTGCAAAAAAAGATTTATATGGCCTGGTTTTCTAGAATACTTCGATGCTCCTTACGAATAACTACACGGTACTTTCTACATAAACGGTAGTAGGTAATCGAGTCAATAAGAAAAAGAATAGTGCTAATAAAACCAAAGACCTGTAAAATAAAAAAACTTTGTAACTTGATTAAAAATAAAAACATTAAACATCGATAAACTTAAGACTAACTATATTTTATTGGTATTTTCAGAATTATATATATTCAATTTAAAAATCCTTACAGCAGCGCCAAGAAGACCAACCCAATACGTGCGGTAAAAAATCAAGAGAACGGAAGTAAACAACCAGAAAAAAAACCACGTCAGTGACGAAGCCAACAAAAATATATACTAAAATAGTAATAATACTAAAACTTAACAAAGTGAAAATTTATACAGTATTATATATATATATATATATATATATATATATATATATATATATATATATATATATATATATATATATATATATATATATATATATATATATATATGCAGGGATGCGGAGTCTCAAAAAGGACTCTTTATTTGAAAGTCACAAAAAGATGACTTCTTTCCTAGTTTTTCTTATCCAGGAGCTTTAAAAATATAAAAAAGCTTATGGACTAAAAAATCAAGCTTGGGAAAAAATCAAGACTTATAGGTCGGAAGAACAATAAATTTTTGAACCCGGAGTCCTTAGTTATAATGGCGGCAAGGACTCCGGGCTTAGACACAATAAGTTCCAAGTAATTAAACATCATAATTTTTTTTTTTATAACAGATCATTAATCAACCAAAATGTTTAGAGCTTCTGGACACCAGAGACCATAAAAAAATTAAGTTATAAGCCGGAGTCCTTTTGGGACTACGCATCCCTGATATATATACATATATATATATATATATATATATATATATATATATATATATATATATATATATATATATATATATATATACATATATATATATATATATATATACATATATATATATATATATATACATATATATATATATATATATATATATATATATATATATATATATATATATATATATATATATACATATATAAATATATATATATATATATATATATATATATATACATATATAAATATATATACATATATATATATATATATATATATATATATATACATATATATATATATATATATATATATATATATATATATATATATATATATATATATATATATATACATACATATATATATATATATATATATATATATATATATATATATATACATATATATATATATCAATAATAAAAGTAATTTCTCGGTAGAGAGTGCTCAATACAAAAGTAGAGCAAATATGTATTAAATTAATAATAAAATAAATACAATTAGATTTGAAACATAACTCGGAGTTTCACGCTTTATGCGATCATCAGACGTTACAAACAACCGTAACAACAACAAAAATTATATACAAAAATACAATACAGTGTTAGCTTAGATGACGTTAAAGTTGCAAATAACAAATTTGTTTTCGTGGCGACATTTTGATATTAGTTCATTTCGTTTATTCAGTAGTTTCAAAGATGACGTGATGATATGATATTTTTCGGTTAAGCAAAGGTTACATAACTTTCCTCCAGGTTTAAATGGTTCCGCCCTATCAATAACTTTCCACGTAAGAATAGGATTTGAAAATCCCTTTTTTTTCATTTCCCAGATATATTTCGAAAGTTCTGTGGTGTTAGCTTTACTTTCGTATTGAAAGGAATTTTTATGTTTGTACCAGCGATCTTTAAAGGTGTGTTCCGTTAGACCAATATAATTAAGACCACTATCCTGCGGTGATGTTTTTACATTGCAGACGTAAATTATATTTTTACTGAGACACATACCTTGCAAAGGACATTGAGAAGGTTGCCGGCAGTTACATGTTGGAACAATTGTGTTGGAAACATTAGATAATATTTTTTTATTGTGTGAATTAATAATATTGGTGATGTTAGGAAGGCAGCTATAACTAACTTTTAAATTATTCTTATTAAAAATTTTTCGAAACTTATGTGTTTTTGGAAAATGCTTTTCAATTAGATTTAGAAAATTTTTTGCGATGTTGGTTTTTACATTTTGTGAAAACGGAGGATTAAACCAAATAATGTTTCTTGATCTTGATTTTGGTTTTGATGAGGTAAGGTTTTTTTGAAAACTAATCTTTTCATTAAACCCACTTGCTGTTATTGCATTGTTATAAAATGGTGATGCTATATTAAAAACTTCCATGCTAGATGAAATATTGCTAATACGGTTAGATATCATAGATGGTATGGATTTAATAATACTAGGTGGGTGGTTAGAACTTGCGTTGATGTATAATGGGTGGTCACCTGGTTTTCTGTATGGTTGGAAAGTATTTTCTGTCAGGTTGAAGGTAACATCGAGAAAGTTTACAATTTTTAAGTTGGTTTTTATTGTAAGTTTTAGATTAAATTTCTCTTTAAAAAGATGAACGATGTTTTTCTTGATTCTCTCGGATTGCGGCCCATTAATCCCATGAAAACAGCAAAGGCCGTCATCTCTATATAATCCGACGTTTTGCAACCCATAGACTTGACTTAGAGTATGAAGAATGAAAAGGCCAACTAATTCACATACTTCAGCCCCATCATAACTTCCCATAGTGACGTCAAAATTAGGATCTCCATGTTTTTTGACCCAGATACTATTGTGTTCAGTAAACAGTAAAGATCTTCTTGAGTGATTTATAATATTTAATGTTTTTTCTGAGATTTCCGAACAATTGTGTTTCCAACACAATTGTTCCAACATGTAACTGCCGGCAACCTTCTCAATGTCCTTTGCAAGGTATGTGTCTCAGTAAAAATATAATTTACGTCTGCAATGTAAAAACATCACCGCAGGATAGTGGTCTTAATTATATTGGTCTAACGGAACACACCTTTAAAGATCGCTGGTACAAACATAAAAATTCCTTTCAATACGAAAGTAAAGCTAACACCACAGAACTTTCGAAATATATCTGGGAAATGAAAAAAAAGGGATATCCTATTCTTACGTGGAAAGTTATTGATAGGGCGGAACCATTTAAACCTGGAGGAAAGTTATGTAACCTTTGCTTAACCGAAAAATACCATATCATCACGTCATCTTTGAAACTACTGAATAAACGAAATGAACTAATATCAAAATGTCGCCACGAAAACAAATTTGTTATTTGCAACTTTAACGTCATCTAAGCTAACACTGTATTGTATTTTTGTATATAATTTTTGTTGTTGTTACGGTTGTTTGTAACGTCTGATGATCGCATAAAGCGTGAAACTCCGAGTTATGTTTCAAATCTAATTGTATTTATTTTATTATTAATTTAATATATATATATATATATATATATATATATATATATATATATATATATATATATATATATATATATATACATATATATATACAGGGTTCCCACTTTTAAAACTAAAGCTAAAATTAAGAGTTTTAAGGAGATTTAAGGAGATATTTTCCTAATATTTACGGAGATTTGGTCGCGAACGACATTTTTTTGAAAGAAAAAGTAAGGATAATTAAGGAGAAAACGATTACATTAAAAACATAATCTTATTTTTTCAATAAATTTTAAATATAAACAGAGAAATTATTATTACTTTATATATATATATATATATATATATATATATATATATATATATATATATATATATATATATATATATATATATATATATATATATAAAATAACAAAATAGGTTTGAAAACTATCAAAAATCTATATATTATCTTCTTTATTAACAAGTATAATCCATTCACTTTAAAAAAATTTTCTAGATGATTAAAAAAAAAAAAATAAGGAGAAATTAAGAAGAGCAGTCAAATTTTAACTTTTTTTAAGGTTATTTAAGGACATTTAAGGAGGTTTTTATTTTTTAAGGATATTTAAGGTTTTTAAGGAGGTGTGGGAACCCTGATATATATATATATATATATATATATATATATATATATATATATATATATATATATATATATATATATATATATATATATATATATATAAAATAACAAAATAGGTTTGAAAACTATCAAAAATCTATATATTATCTTCTTTATTAACAAGTATAATCCATTCACTTTAAAAAAATTTTCTAGATGATTAAAAAAAAAAAAAATAAGGAGAAATTAAGAAGAGCAGTCAAATTTTAACTTTTTTTAAGGTTATTTAAGGACATTTAAGGAGGTTTTTATTTTTTAAGGATATTTAAGGTTTTTAAGGAGGTGTGGGAACCCTGATATATATATATATATATATATATATATATATATATATATATATATATATATATATATATATCAGATAAAGACCTTGTCTAGAATAGAAAGAACATCATTAAAGGGTTAGCCCGAATATGAGAACAGTATTCTATACAGGGATGAATAAATGCTTTGAAAAGGTAAAAAATAGAATCATGTGTAAGATTACAGTGAGCACAATAAAAACTCACTCACTTACATAGTGAGTAACTATTATCTTGAGTGAGTAACTATGTTTACCCATGTCTGTAATAACCATTGGTATGGTAAAAAAAACAAATGCTCTCGCATTTGTTTTTTTTTTACTACACTAACGGGTGAGTTAAGTGATTGAAAATTGCAATATCTGGCGGTGCTTCTGGTCTTTAAATTTTAGTTTTTTAAAGACCATTAACTATTTTTTTTATCAAAAACTCAATAGTTGTTATTCAATAAAAAATATTTGTGCACTGATCTTAAAATTTTTATAAATTATATGCTACGATCATGTTATTATTACTTTTAATGTTATTAAAAAATTATGATTGAAAAACTTCAGTAGCTTTATCAATCATCAGATAAAACAAGAAAAACAAAGCATACAGTACAGTCTAACTTTAAAAACGAAACAACCGCAAATCACAACAGCCTGGAATCTAGCGGTGATCAAATATTTTAGATTAAAAAAGTCATGACTACATGAATTAAATTCTCATAACTCTAGCATAGATATTTGTAAAATATTAAAGACAAAGGTGTTTAAAAAACTACAAAAACTATTTTAAACTACCTAAAATTATTTTAATTAAAATTTTAGATCATATCTTTTTTATCATTGTTTTTATCAATTAACTAATGCATAATTTTAAACTTAAAAATTTTTAAATTATTAATTCTTTCCATAAAGTATGTATGCAAGTAGGAGGGGGGGGGGGGGGGGGAGGGAGGGGGGAGGAGGGGTTCCCAAAAGCGTACAAATGCGTACAAGGGGGAGGGGTGTTAAAAACAGTGAGTACGTACGCGGTTCGACTATATCTCCTCAACTTGAATTTGTTT